CTTACGCTGTTTTAGACCCAGGCTGCCAGCCTAGAAAGCAAACCTGGGAAATCATTTAAAATTCAGAAAGAGCTGGGATAACTGTTTAGTTGGGCAATGTGAGGTTCAAAACACATGTGAGCACCGTGTTACAGTTAGCTGTGATGTGTCACACTGAAGTCTCTGTGGTGTGTGGTGAGAGGTCTTTAAGGGGACAGTATACCCCGTAGTAAAACTTTTAGAAAAAGAAAGCAGTGATTTCACAGCGAGATGTTCACTGGATGTTGAAGGTTTGAAAAAAGTAGTACCTGTGGCCTGTGTTCATATTTAATCATCCTGAAATATGTGTGGTTTGTTTTCTCCCCCAGCATTGGGCTTAATCTTATAATGTAGACACACACCTCGCTATCAGAGGATTTTCTGCTGTCTTGTGATCCTGACTTTGAAGACCACGCTGGACCTTGATATGTTTTATTTGAAGACAGCATCCGGGACACGTCAACGTTATTAAATTTAGCTAGACGTGATGGCACGACAATCAAATTTTTGATCTTCACTTTGAGGGAATCACATCTTTTACCTTCTTTGAAGTTCACATTCCTGCTGTTATTCACATTTTTCCGGTAATCTAGAGAGCACTTAGTGAGAGGGTGCAACCTAAATAACTCAGCATGCTGTAGAAGAGAAAATCCACGGGTTTGAAGCTGTGACTCATGACTTCCTGTCATACACCCCCTGTTTACCATCAGTCCGCAATATTGAAATAAGTGCTAAAAGCAAGTGAAATATCCCTTCACCTTGACCTTTGCGTGCCCACCTTTGATTAAAGGTCAACAGGAGCACATGAGAAACCACCCAACTAAATTTGTGGCTCCTCATCTTTGCAGCAGCACACCATGCAGTGTAATGTGCCTGATTAGTCACCTGTTTCAGTATTTAACAATAACAGATATCACTGAGATAAAGAACTGATATCAGTAAGATAAAAGAAAATCATTAGTCAGCCAAACATGTATGCGTCCTTTGCTGATATTTTGCAAACGATTGATAGCAGGAATTAAAACATATTCTGTTGTGCACACACAGGAAATACCTCAACCTTAACAGCATCAATGTTGACACGATAAACACTCACACGCAAGCACAAAGCCACACTGATGAAAAAACAGCATGTGGACTGTGACAACTCAGATCATGAGAAACTTTGCAGTGTCTGTGTGTCTGTGTGTGTGTTTGTGTGTGTGTATTTGTGTGTGTGAAAGACAAAAAACGAGCCTCACGCGTGCAAAAGGGATCCCACTCACGTCATTTCCAGAAAGGGAAGTTGTTTCTCTTTGAGAACGTGCCAGTGGAAGTGGCAGCAAATAAAGGGCCTCACTTACGCTTATAGTAGCATATAGGAGGAACACTCACATAATGATTTCCATCATTAGCATGTAAATATATATGCACATTTACCTTACTTCTGCGATGCTGTTTCTTCTATGAATGCATGCATAATTATTCTCCTTTAAAGTCACTAAAGTTATATGCATATGGATGAACCCATTGCGCCTTGACTCTACAAATAAGTGGGAAATTAGTAAAAAGTTGTTAGGTTTTACAATGACAGTTAAGGTACATGCACAATGTGTCAAGTGCAGCTTTATTTCTGTTTTGACACCCTTTTTTTTTAGCCAGTCTGAACAGCAAGATAAAGTTAACTTGATCTGAATTGATCTAAATTAGACCTTTTGATTCAAATGCCAATCTCATCACTCTTATAAGGTCAAACCTCTCCTGACGTTGTGACTTGTGGGAGCCCAGAATCTCGACAAATAAAAAGGTGAATTTAATATACTGTCAAGTGGCCATCGTTGTACGCGTATTAAATCCAAATATTTCATGTGAAACATCAGGATGCGCTCAGACAAGGGAGCTCTGGCACCAGCACGACACAGTTTATATAACTGTGCCTGCCTGCTTTGCACACACTCAGGAAATACAACAACTGCAACATGCAAGTGAGGCGCACATTCAAATAACATCAGGTAGACATTTGGTTATGAAACTGGTGTGATGAGAAGCAGAGTGGGCTGTGTGGTTTTGTTGCAAGTGTGCATCAAAATATTGTGTGACCTTTCAGTTGGGACATTTTGCATGTGATTTGCATTCCTTTAACATTTCAGATTGCGTGAGCGAAGAGTCTACACCTCTACTGAATGCAATATTTGGTATTTTACACCGGCTTTTATTCTGAGCATACTGTGCGGCGTTACATGTCCATCAATATAGCATAGACTCTGCAGGTTTCTCCTTCTGTTTAAGTTCTGCCACTCTTTTTCTAACTTTGTCTTTGGCCATCATCTTGTATATGTTCTCAGTTTGACTGCTTGGTAATCAGGAGTACTTTGCATAGCAACAGCAGAAACACACTCAACCACAACATCTTTAACTTGCATTGGATGTAACCTGGATTTATACTAATGACTTCAGCCTTAACCTGGATTTATACTAATGACCTCAGCTTCTTTTCCCCCCATGTTGACTGGCAAAATTGCACGTCTGCAGGAAAATCCCCCAGTAAGCTTTAAGCTGCAGCTCAAAGGGAAAAGGAAAGGAAGACACACACAGCTGCTCTGATTGATGAAACTCGGCAGCACACATCCACTGGTCTGTGTCCATCATTTCCAGGGAAAGGCGATGTTTCACAAACAATCCAGAAGCAGAATAAATGGGGGTTGGGGGGGCTTAGCTTACACCGAGATCCAGCGTGGCGTTCCT